CAGGTGCCACTGTACAAATGCAATGACACATAGTTAAAACATCAGGGTTGTTCCCAAAACTTTCAACATTGATGTTAAGCATTTATCTTATCGATATGAACTATATAGTCTCTGTAAACGAGTTACTAAATACATTTTCTTGACATCATTGATTCATAAATAGTTCTCTATAATTGAAAGCATTGGCATTTTGTGTAGAAAACACACTGCTCGTTAAAATAAGATTATTTATCTCTCCGAGGTCAACGAATTTTATCTATTCAACTTACATAAGAATTCGGTTTGATTCATTTGAAATCCACAATAAAATACGTTTACAATGATTTGCTAATTGTTCATATATATACAATCTTAGAGTATTGAATTTTATCTAAAAAAATTGCACTGGTAAAGTTTATAACTTCAATCTTTTAAAAAGACACAGCTGATTTCATTCAAGTGTGAATTACGTCTTTTGAGCCTGAGTTCATATTTCACTCGAATTGACATGTACTATATTATTCTATGCTAAGTATGTAACAATAACTTCTGATATTTTGATATACCTTCATAAATCTAACTATCAGACATATAAGTCCGACATTGAAAGTGATTGTTCATTTATCTATTCTGCTTTCGCGAACCCAGGTTTTACTTTGGTTACAATTTATCAGGAACATACGATCCTGTGAACCAAGGTATCCTTTTTTAAAACTCTTTGTAATAGAAATTTTGAATCTTTACGATGATATTAATTAGCAGTTGCTGGTATTTACCAAACACAAAATTATCACAATAAAATACTATCATTAATTCTCATTAGATAGCAATCAATATGGAAATCTTAAACCGAAGGTTATCTAAACAAGCAGTGTCTCGCTATAAAGAAAGGGGTTTGGATACATCTAGTGACTAGGTAATCGCGATCCACACTATGTGTATAGTTTTAGATGTAATATCATTATTCTATTTTTAGACTCGTCTCTCATATATAAGCTAATAAGAGTGCCGGTTTGATAAACATGATCTAGTCTGTTAAATTATCAATTTCGCTGTTGCTTATTTTTGATCATTCGAGAGTTTCTTATTTCAACGGTATAACCATAACAGGGTTAAAATTGTCAAATCTTTAACCTTGAGTACTTCAATGATATAATGCGAATTATATCAATTCAAAGTCAGACCCTTGCAAACGGACCAAGTGTTCCGGAAAAGCTAGCGTCTACTTCTTGAGTTACTACTTTCTACGTGTAAAATATGTACACTACACAATATATTTTAAACATCACAACATTACACATCACACAATGATGTGTATACACATATGTACTGTTTATATAAGATAGAGTATGTTCACTTGTATGTATAGTATAAATGCATGTATACATTGTAACTTTGTTGACAGTTTGTTACATGATAAATATTATCGGATTATTCGACAGGGAGCTTTGAGTCTATGTGAAATAATAACATAACAGAAATTCCAGGAAGTACATACGTGTGTCCTTACTATCTCCTCGTCAATATATACAAGATATGTTTTTTGACTTTTATTTATGTCGTATGGTAACCACAGTCTTCCTCACATGTAAACTCTAACGATGTCTACATATGTATTTTTATTGTAATATGTAGGGTACCTTTAGCAATATTTATATATGAAATCTGACGATATCTATATACCATGTCAATCTTCATCACCACAGTCCCTATGATAACTATAACCTATTTAACACACAAACTGACTGTAACTATATACAATGTGTGTCTCTATCTTAATCCCTTTCCTATCGTAACTATAACCTATTTAACACACAAACTGACTGTAACTATATTCATTGTGTGTCTCTATCTTAAACCTTCCCTATGTTAACTATAACCTACCTAACACACAAACTGACTGTAACTATATACAATGTGTGTCTCTATCTTAATCTCTTCCTTATCCCTATTTAACACACAAACTGACCGTAACTATATACATTGTGTCTGTATCTTAATCCTTCCCTATGTTAACTATAACCTACCTAACACACAAACTGACTGTAACTATATACAATGTGTGTCTCTATCTTAATCTCTTCCTTATCGTAACTATAACCTATTTAACACACAAACTGACCGTAACTATATACATTGTGTCTGTATCTTAATCCTTCCCTATGTTAACTATAACCTACCTAACACACAAACTGACTGTAACTATGTGTCTCTATCTTAATCCCTTCCCTATGTTAACTATAACCTACCTTACACACAAACTGACTGTAACAATGTGTGTCTCTATCTTAATCCCTTCCATATGGTAACTATAACCTATTTAACACACAAACTGACTGTAACTGTATACCATGTGTCTCCATCTTAATCCTTTCCCTATGGTAACTATAACCTACCTAACACACAAACTGACTGTAACTATGTGTGTCTCTATCTTAATCCCTTCCCTATGATACCTTTGGTACATATAAAAATTTAACCTTGACAGATATTCGATGTAGGTTCTGTGTATTGCTAACTGCATGAGTTAACAGTCTTAATATTTAAAGGTATCTTCAATCGACAAAAAGGGACTCTCTTACAATCCAATGTTCATTTCGTGGGAGTGGATATCAACAATAATTTTATTGTTGAAGAAATCTTCTGACGCACAAGCAGCGAGGTGAATATGAAAGACATCTGAGTTTGTGATAAAGCCGAGTTGTTCAGAATCATTGGTCATTATCACACACAACATACATCGTAGGCAAAAAGGTTTTACAAATAATTTTTCATGGTCATATACTAATAGATAAAATACGTATAAAGGGTTAAATTCCGTCTTACAACTATTTTATATCTCTCGGTCTCTTCATTGATGCTAGGGGTCAAAGTGTGAACATTCTAATGGAGAGCTTAGAAAATGTCCGTAGTTCTAAATATATGTTAAGATGTGAGATGGCAGTGCATATACTCTCAGACTTACTTAATTTGATATATTTAGGTATCTATACAACAGTAATATATTATGAAAATTGTAGCTGTTTGGAAGTAATTTAAACGCAATATGCTGATAAGCTCATGTAGATAAAACAAAAACAAAACAAAAATCTCGTTAGCAGACATAAACCGATAGTATATATCTGTTACAGTTCACAACAGTAGGTATTTACATACTGTACTTACATTTGATAGCATATTTGATAAACTACATTGTACCTAGATAAACAACGATTGATATCATTTAAAGTTTATTTCAAATCGAATGACAGTCTCACACAGAGAAAGAAATATCAACACATTCCAAAACCTTATTGACAATGTTAACATATTTATCAAATTTTTCAAATAAGAATACCGATGTTTCTGTAATATTCAATACAAATGGCTTTAGTTTATAGATTTAATTAAAGAAAGTGTCACAAATAAAGCTGAGCATCTTAGTTTAAGTTCTAGCACTATTGTTTGTTAATCTAAAGGAAAGCAAAACCAGATTTACCGAGTGTAGACAGTAACACTAGTATGTATATGTAATGTTAACAGTACAACTCATTTATCTTTAATTTTCAGTACGTTCAACAATATGTATGCAAACCTACACAAGACATCAAAGATTCCAAGATATTACGCTTTTAAAGTAGCCTTACAAAATATACACAACATGAACTAAACGTGTAGTACAGACTGCCAATCAGATTAACATATCGTGACGTGTTACATTTTAAAGTTTTCAATACGTATTGAATCACAGCTGTTGAAATGTTTCATAACTAACACTTCAGACTAACGACTTATATGCATTTTCCATTACATGGCATTTATACATCACGAAAATATCGTTAACTTTATATATATTGGTGTAATTTCCACACACACACAAAAAAAGAAAAAAAATGTTTTTTGAAAAACTATTAAAAAAGCTGAAACTGTTTCAAAATTTCTGAAGAATTGATCTAATTTAAATACCATCCATTACAAATCTAATACGGAAGGAAAATGAACGATTTTTTTTATCACGAGACACCAACAAAAATATTTTAACGTAAAATAAACTATGTTCGAAATAAAATTTATTACATAATCAGTATGTTGTTAAGTTAAATCACACAGGTAATATATCAGCCTTATGATTTCAATTTTCCCTATTGAGAATCTTCCATTTCTTGGTAACAACATTCCTACATCTCCAGCTAATGGCATTTATATGTCGAAGTTCATTCGATATTTCATGGCCTCTTCCCAAATATTACGATTTTTGCTCAAGATGTCGTCAATTAACAGACAAGCTCATAACATACGGTTTCAAATGATGCAGGATGCTTAAAATTAAGGGGAAGTTTCATAGTTATTTCCTCGCGCAATAGTTTATATCCGTGTGAAATATAACGCCTTTTTTATGCTGGTTAGTTTGCCTGTTTATGCCGTTGCTGTATATCTTTTCTCACTTGAGCATGTGAAATTATTACATGGATTGACCATGGTTTACATGGCGTATGTCGTCGATGAAGCAGAAGACGCTTACTCTTCCGGAACGCCTGGTCTTATTATCTTTGTACTTGTTCAGAAATATACGTGTAAATATATTTTTATTCATATTTTGTTCTTATTTTATTGAATTTGAGTTTGAATTATGATTACGTTGACATATTGGTATTTTCTTATTGTTTTTGCAACTGCCACAACCGTAATTCATCCATCATATGATATAAAGTGACATGAAGTTGAATTGAAAATATCTGTCACATTTTTATCTTTATTCTAATACATATCAAAATGTAACTATTTTAAGTTATTTGATTAAAAAAATCTTAAAGTTGTTTGCATTTCATATAAAATTATGGAATCTCGTCTCAAAAAGAATTATCACTAAGACCTACAGAAGTTCATCAGTCTCGTTTGATAAAAACCCAAATGAAATAAAAACTCATTTAAACATGTGTTTGTTAAAGTCAATCTCATATTGCTATTGTGGAAAATGATATGTAACCGATTGTAGATTAATGAAAAGGAAACTAAACATTTTATTTATTACTAGTACTCACCCTTTTTGTCTCGTCGTCAACGACAATAGACATAGTATCCATCATGTTTCAAGTTATCCAATCACACAAGGAAATATGAAACGGTATTTATACCATAGAGAACTTGTAACGCTATAGAACGCCGGTTACAAGCTGTCAGGTTGCACACCAACACGAAACAAAATAACACTTTGTATACCTCACAAACACAACACTGTTCACCTTTGCTGTTATAAACATGCACACTGGTTGTATATTGGGTCTGGTTAATTCACATATACACAGTTTTTGTTTGAAAAGCTTCTTATTGTTAACGACTGAATGACGACATAATGCACAGAATTAACACTATCATATATTAGTACAGGTGGGTAACTTATTCTTTTGTTCTCAACTTGTATACTTTTGTCGAGGTTAAGTCGTGATATGTAGGCTCAAAAGGAATCTAGGCATAACTAGATTTGTCAGATTAGACTCAATAGACAATTAAAAATATAAAGAAAATATAATTCTATTATTTTGTATACCGTGTTCTAAACTGTAAACAAATTGATGGAGATATATAAGGCGAATTTGTAAATCATGTATTCATATTTTACATGTTTTCATCTTTTCATTTTTAAGAATGCATAAACTTGTATTGTTCGAGCTAAACTTTTAATGACATAACATCCACTCTTTCAAATGTACTTCAAAGTATTTATAGAACAAGTAACATACCTGTAAAGAAACAGCCATCATTTTAAGTAGAAATCCTTGGATAATCAAAGATCAAGGTGTTAAATCCGAAATCCAAATACGTTTTAAATCCGGATTAAACGGGAATGCGTGTTAACGCAAAGTCAAAATCCTTTCTGAGATACGAAACAGTTAGGTCAAAAACTCAATCAAGACTTAAAACAAATGAGAACAGCAATTTTAACACTGCCTCTGCTTTTAAACTTCACCTAACAAATCACGCAATAGGGGAGAGTTGAACTCATATCGATGATAGACAGGTTTCGTGTAAACACAGATTAGTCAACTTCACGAGGGAAACTTTAAACATTAAACCACCTTAATTTTATTCCCCTCTGAAAAAAATAAACAATTGAAATTTGTGAACATAATGGTGTTATTGATATTCGATCATTTAAACTCGAGTTTTTTCATTTATGACAATTTTTTTTCAGATTTAATACACGTATCTAGTTGTTGTTGAGGTAAGCTGACCGACACTTTAAGGTACACACTTACAGCGTGTACTGTACGTATAACGATATAGCCATATATTTGAGGAGCGGTGTATTGGTTGGATTAGGGTCTGTGTAAAACCAATGGACGAATAGTACTATCGATTTAGTTTAAATGGCCACACGGCTAGTCCCAACCTTGACGGTGAACGACGAGGTTTTTATTAAAGGACCCCGATACGTCAACAATTCTATATTGTTTCTTCACGAAATAAAACAACATTGTTTAGGTGTAATTAGAGGCCATTGTATTTTTCCGATTTATTTCAAGTGTCGTATTAACGGATTTGGTTTCTCTACAAAATCAATAATTACTCTTTCCTGGTATCAATTTATCAACGAACCAATTTTGCTTATGTATTCCTATTCTGCATGCAGGTTTTGTTTTGGAGAGTTTATATTAAGTCGATAATATATCTAAAATAAAGATATATCAAATCAAAAATAGTCTTGCCAACTGTTTCATTTATTTGTTTGACAAATTGAAACGAGACAACATCGTTTTAAGGAGAAAAAACCTTAAAAGAAAACATATCATTATTTCAGAATGACAGCTACTCCATTACATGCACAATTAAGCGATGATAAAAACATAACGTGCCATGATTCACATTAGAAAGTAAAAGAGAATTTTCTCATGTGTTGTTGTCATCAATATTATTTACAGCGTTCATTAAAATAACAAATCTTATCCTTAACTTGCACGTAGAGCGTAAGAAATGGTCCCCATTGCATAAATCGTAAGAGGCAACTGCACTTGGCATCTACCTTTTCCATCAAAATCTTAAAATCTAAATAAATTATCATCGCTTTTGGCCTACGCACTGGTGTTGAAGATCAGCAGGCCAAGAATACTATCGTTAGGCCTTCAGTAAAAAAAGAATGGTGTCAAAGTTGTGATATTTCAATGTGATTGCACTATAAAAGCGTCCTTGAGTGACGGCATTGTTTGTGAAAGCAATCTTCAAATGATCACAGCTGTAGCAGGGACGTTAAATTCTAGTTCCATAGAAGACAAAACAGATTTATGCAAAGCAATGTCACAGTACTGAACAGCTTTCTTGTGTGATGTTTATAAATTTTTAGTATAGCATGAGTGGCATATGTTATGAACGTACTAATGGATTTCCTTAAATTGATATCGGTTCTGGGACATCCATACTGATGACTAGCTACATGTTTACATGGCAGCCTAATTGAATTAACACTGCAATTTCAACTTATATCAATAAAACTTCATTGATTGATAGATATTGTCATCAGCCATACCTTATCACAAATTCTGATGTTCTGTTTAATCCAACTAAACGGTTAAATATCTGTCGCTTGATATATATATTAAATCATAATTATAGATTTTCCAACCTGTTGAAAAATAAAAAGTTACCTGCTGTCGTTAGGGAAACAAATTACATTGTTTCCAGTTTAAATATTAGTACGGTCGTCAGCCAAGCGCAAACTCGTATATTTCACTACCCGGTCTTCTTTCAAAGTAGTTCTGTGTTTTTGAATACACGATTGTTTTCCTTCATAAGCACAAAATACAAATATGACTTCAAAAATTGGAGGAAATGTGCATCATAAATCTTTAAATTATGAATATATTGTACATACTTTTGTGTGGTGAGGTCACACGAAGCACATAAAATACTCGGTTTTCTGTTTGTACAATAAATAATTAGGGTTTTTAAAGTATCGGCTGACCTCCAATTAGGACAATATTTACATTCACACTCCGCTTGTTATAGGAACACATATTTGCACTTGGACAGTAATCCCTTCAGGTATGTTGACTATAGATATCCATATTTAGAGTGAAGAGATTTTACCCCCTTCTAATATGCACCTAAGTATTCTTTCCTTAATTGATCTTCGTAGTGCTAGGACAAGCTTTTAAGAAGCGGTGCTTAGATGTACATATCATGTACAAATTATAGTGATTTTGAAGATGACTGTCTAATTATGGGTAATTAATGCTAAAAAGTCAATATGTGAAATATTCTTCATCATAATGTAAAAAAAAACACAATGATTTTGATGATGACTGTCCAAATATTTGGTAATTAATGCTTAAAAATCAATAAGTGAAATATTCTATAAATAGTTCTGTTTTAAATGTAGCATTAGTTTAATTAAGACGACAGTTTGATATGAAACAACGCTAGTTCATGCAGATTTTGGTTCAAACTTAGGGACATACAAGTACATTCGAACCTCGTTATCTCGAACTCGGCGGGACCATAGGAAAACTTCGAGATAACCAAGTATAAGATTTAAGTGAGTTCGAATGTTTAGTGTAAAGTTTGGCAGTGACCCACGAAATGCTACGAATTAAATGGGGTCTTGAGTTTTACGAATTAGAGGTCAGGATTTTCAACTGTTATTTACATGTACGCTTTACACGAAATTTTAGAACAGACAAAATACCAATATACTGTCACAATGTGTTAGATTTTTAAAGATAAACGAAATTGTTTGCTGTATGACGTAAATCCATGTATTGTTTATCTACATTTCATCTTATTTCGATTTCTTTGTGCGACATGAAGCTAGACGTCATTGATGAGCGTTAAGTTGCCTGTTTTATTTTAATATATAATTATCTTGCCATGTTAATATTTTCTTGATATTTTTATACGAAAGTTGCTTTTCGCTGGTGTCTCTTTTCCTGTTTATACCTAACAATGTGTTATATGCAGAATTGTAGAACAGAGTACCTTACCTACATTTCACATTACTTAGTAGACCAAAAGAAAGTTTTATTTTTAAAATCTCTTTTAAAATATATTTATTATCTAACTTTGTGATTGTCACAATAAAAGAGGGTATGATACGACGTCCTGCCACCGCTGGTTATCTGCAACTAGCCTTTGAACAACCGTGGCTTGGTGGCACTCGAATTAGCTGCAGGGTCGAATTACTGCATTGCCATCAAATGCGATTATTATTCTTAAGTAAAGCCATATGTTACATATCAGAGAAATAACATTATGGTATCGGTCGAGTTTGACTATTTAGCTGTAACCTTCGCCCTTCAATTTTTGAGATATAACTTTTATTTACCTTCAATTTTTGAGATATAACATTTATTTACCTTCAATTTTTGAGATATAACATTTATTTACCAAGATTTTGTGGTTGGCGACCGCGATAAAACAGACACACTTGTACGTTTGGTAGTTTAAATCAGGCGCATTCGAGTGCAGGATAGGGTGCTGAAAAAAAATGTACGGTATGTTTTACATATTTCTACATGTTTGTTAAGGTTACGGGGATTTGACGTTCTCCGAGATAAGTCTTATATTATAAGTCTTATAAGAACGGGCGCCAATAATTTCTTTTTAACAAGGAATAGCACCTGTCTGTAAGAATACAGTAGACATAAAAAAGTTGTTTCGTCCTTCTGTAAGTCATAGTACTAAGGTCTAAAGATTTAAACCTAGGAGACGACTGAGAAATATCGATCGAAAGAAATGATAGAATTTAGACATCTTTAGGTCATAGGTCATGTATATGTGTATTTTCTTAATAAATATCATGGAAAACGCAGTGAATTCGAACGAGTGTCCTTGTACACGTTTCACTTGAATAGTGTGCACAATCCCGTTCGAGTTGCTTCCCTTGTGTTGTGGCATGGCAAATTCAATGGCAGAGTCACATTCAATCAAATCCCTATTTTACTTTTTATTTTTGCAATTAAGAAATATCATCATCTTTGCTTAATTTCTGTTCGCCGTATATGAGTAAATCTGATTTAAATTCTCAAAGAGAGGTTGTAATTGTCTTATTAATAGATTTCTATTATGAATGTATAGGGGACAAACATCAAAATAG